GACCCCCCCCAGCCGAGACTCGGGGCAGGCCGGAGCCGGGCGGGGTGCCTCTGTCCGGCTCTTCCCGGCAGCCGCGCGGGCGGGGTGGGGTGCCGTGTAGGTGCAAAGGCCGGCGAGAAAGGAGGGGAAGGATGAAGGGAAGGGAGGGGAGTGGGGTCGAGGGATACGAGTAAGTAACTGGGAGCACCCCTGTTCCTGCCGTGCGGGCTGGTGGGAAGGGGAGGTCGCCCAGGACGGACGGAAGTGAGAGCACGGTGTGTAGCAGAACCCCGGGGCGTGCTTCCGTGTGCTAGACTCACACACCACTGACAGACTGTGCCAGCTCGGCGAGGACCACGAGGTACCCCAAGTTTAGAACAGCGTCCGGTATGACGCTATGTAAAGTAAAGGCAAAAGCTATCGTGGGGGAGATCCCTGAGTTTGTATACTGTTAGTATCTCTAGAATTTAGAACTGAAGATGAGGGAGGGAGTGCTTTAAGCCATATTTGTGACTCAGCTGAATCGCTCTTCACAAACTCCAGGGTACAAGATAGTTCACTGTATTTTTTTCTGTTAATTTAATTTTTGTTTCGAGACTTTCTTTTTTAAAAATCTTGTTTTAATTCCAACAGTCTGCATCCCTTTCCTTGGAGGTGTAGATAGTGCAAAGTCATGTAGGAAGTGTACCCAGAAGCCATCCTTCTTGGTGTGCTTGTCCACACTGACGGCCAGTGTGCATTGTCCTTTCTGGCCTTTCGTCATTCGTCCCTTTGAATCTTCTTGGAAGTGTGCTATGCCCCTGTCCATAAGTCCATTCATACTAAGGTTTAGCTGGTTGACTTACCAATATTATTCCCAAAGTATTTAAATGTGAGGTAAGCCTTTGCTCAAATGAGTAAATAAATCTATTCCTAACGATATAATTTAAGCATTCTCTCAGGCAGAATTTTTCGTTTATTTTTTGAAACAACATATCAAAATTTCCTTTTATTGCAATTCAGATTTTTGGGAAACCAGAAAATCTAATTATCTGCCCTAAGTACTATGCTCTAACCAAACTACCCAGTTTTTTTCTTTACATTCCTTCCCCACAAGTTACTTGGCTTCTAATACTTGATGTTGGACTTTGTCTCACGGACTTCAAGCTTCTAAAATACATGTACTTGTGACTGACTGGTGCCCTTTGGGTCAAATCAGAAAGTAGAAATAATGCACTATATATTGAAGTCACTGAACTCCATTCAAACTACATATATTCCTTATAAATCACTGATAACTGAGTAGAAAGAGATGGGAGAAGAAAAAGATCACAAAACTCATGAGCTACCCAAATGGTTGGCATACAGCAAAGAGTGACTTTCTCAACCTGCTGCATACAGTTACCACCCCAGGCTGACTCGGTATCCTAGTGGTTAAGGGAACCAGGTCCCATGACTGCCCATAACACCTTGAAAAATATGCCAGGATGCCAGGTTCTTGTTTGTGCCTAAAATCACAGCAAGGTGGAGAAAAGATTGCAATGTGACCACGCCCCCTGGGGGGTCCTTTCTCCCTCACTTTCTCTGGCTTGCTTTCTCTTTCTTTTTTTTTCTTTGAGAGGTTTTTGCTATAGGGCTTGGGAGCTTGCCAGAATGACAGAGAGAGACAGAGAGACAGTAAGCATGAAATCACCCCCCCCCCGCCCCGGGGGGATGGCCACACCACAATCCCTTCTCCTCCATTCTCCTCTTGGGATCTTGGCCACACATGCACACGTGCCCAGCGTGGAGTTTAAGCCACTGGGTCTGGGACTCGAGCCGTGGTCAACTACATGGGAGTCCAGCGACGTAGCCATTAGGTCATCTGCTGGTCCCTCCCTTTCTCTGTCTTTCTCTGGCAAATATATGTACCCTCAGGCAATTGAAAAAATTAAATTACCAGCAGGAAAGAACAAGAGTATGTTTATGTCTAAATCTATTTCATAATTATTCCCTATTCTAGCATTCTCAGAAAGTTTCCATCTGTGATACAGCAGTAATTGTAGGTACATTTGAACGGTTCACTTATTGATTTAGTCTGAACTTCCTTAAGCCTGTCTCTTAGTTCACTTTCAAGCTTGTTAATCGATTAAGAGGTATCACAGTTAACAGTGTCCTTACTCCTCTCCTGTGTAAGAAGCCACCTCTGATCTCCTGTGAGATTTCTCTTGTTCTGTTCTGCTATTCTATTGGAGTGGACATTCTGGTCTAGGGGAAGGAAATTTGGTACCTGGGTTGAGAGGCAAGTTACTAAATTCATCTATTAACATCTATTAACATCTATTAGCATTTCTAAGAAGAGGAAGCTCATAGCAGACTAGCCTCCATGACCAAATTCAGGGTTTGGTGCTAACACAAGAAATGATTGCCACCACCCTAGAAAGCTTGTTTATTTTTTATTTATTTTTTTTATTTTTAAAAAAGGTTTTTGCCTTGGGGGTACATGTGCTTGCGAGAGGAGAAGGGGGAGACAGACAGACAGTGAGAAGGAAAGTGAGAAATCACTCCCTCCCACCCCCAGAGTGGATGGCCACAGTCCCTTCTCCATTCTCCTCCCAGGATCTTGGGCGTACATACACATGTGCCCGACGTGATTTTCAAGCCACTGGGTCTGGAACTTGAACTGCGGTCAGAATTTTTTCAGTGAAACAACTCCATATCTTTTGCCAGATTTGTGAAAGCCTCTGACTCCCACTAACTAGGCATTGTAGATAAATGGTTAGCAGGTTGAAAGGGTCTCTGTCTTTGGGCACTTACAAGTCTGGTGGGACAGACGTCAAATACATAAGCGACATGTTTTGTGACAAGGAACGTGTAGTGTTGGGAGAACACAGAGAGGGCACCTAAACCAGACTGGCCTGTGTCAGCCAAGGCTCTTTGTAGGAACTGACTGTGAGACCGAGGCCTGCAGAGTGGAGAGCAAAGTAGAATTTGGCCTGGTGAAGGTTGTGAAAGGGGTGATCTTGGTAGAAGGAAAAATGTTTAGGAATATGTCCTTCGTAAAGGTCCAGAGTCAAGAGATACTTGGGCAGTTCACAAGCTAGAAAGAGTATGTATTGTTGAAGCTTAGGGTGCTTAAGTTTGATGAGAGTATCATAAGAAATGAGGGTGGGAGGTTTTCAAAATCCAGGTGATGTGTGTGATGCCGAGGATATGGGTGGGAACAAGACAAAGGAGACTTGCTTTCAAAGAGTTTTCAGTGTGGAGAAACAGTGGATAGTGGGCAAATAAGCAAATCAGATTAAAAAAATGTTTTTTGGTGGAGAAAATAAACAGGGTGATGTAGAAAATGGTGGCTGAGATCTAAATTGGGAGGCTTTTTAGATCAGGGTATTACCAACATGGGTTAGAGGGATTCAACATGGGGTGGCAGGAAAAATGACACTGAGAACAGGGTGATGTAGAAAATGGTGGCTGAGATCTAAATTGGGAGGCTTTTTAGATCAGGGTATTACCAACATGGGTTAGAGGGATTCAACATAGGGGTGGCAGGAAAAATGATTTGAGAGACACTGAGGGTGTAGAATCAATAGAATTTGGTAGTTGGATAATTGTAATAACAAAGAATAACAGCTTTTTTTTTTTTTAAGAGGTTTTTGCTATAGGGTGCGTCCACTCGCCAGACAGAGGGGCAGAGAGACAAAATTTTTTTTTAGGGGGGAGGGTCATGCCGCAATCCCTTCTCCTCCATTCTCCTCTCAGGATCTTGGGCATGGGCGCATATGTGTCCAGTGTGAGTTTTGAACCGCAGTCGACTACATCAGAGTGCAGCTACGTAGCCATTACACCAACTGCTGGTCCCAACAACAGCTTCTATAACAAAGACTTGCTACGTGCCAGATGTTGCTCCAAGTGTTTAATATTTTTTGTTCTCCTTTATGTCTATAGCCTCTCTGTGAGGTGGGAATTCATTTTCCCTTCCTTCCTTTCTTTCTTTCTCTTTCTTTCTTTCTTT